TTAAAATTAACAAGCCATTCCTTGTGACCCTGATTATCAACTGATTGAACATCATATTTTAAATCAGCTGCCAATTTGACCGTAATGAACCTATCAGATTTACCATTAAGACAGAAGTAAATAATTGTTTCATCAGCATAGATACCAAGATGAAAACTGACGACAATGGAAGGTCATTGATGAAAATTAGGAACAACAGACAGACACCTACATTAAAGCAAAATGATGTCTTTTAGATCATTTTGCTTTAATTTATTAGCCATTCAAGTCAACATTTATTTTGAAAGAAAGATTGAATCAAATCAAAAATCAATAACCATGAATACATTGGAAGTTGACTGAGAAATGAAAGCTATATTATCTGAAAGAAGACCTTGTAAGCTGAGATGCTTAAAACATATTTGGACTTGATTAGACTCTCTAGGATTTTGCCAAAATGAGGTAGAAAACAAATAGGTCAATAGAAGGATAAGACAGTTTGAGTTCTTAAAAATGAATTACAGAAGAGAATTTCCTTCAAGTAGAAAAGCAACAAGACATTTATTGTAGAGTCTAGAGAGAACAAGAGTCATTTCAGGAGCACATTTTTTTAGGACTATTACAGGTATACCATCAAGTTTATCTTACATGTGGGGATCCAGTTTAGAGATGATAGCAAAAACCACGGACAAAGTTGTATACATATCAATATAGACTCAGTTCTAAATGGAAAGTCAGATAAGATACTCCAGATGAGCCAAGAGTAGAATTGGAAGAAAATTTACAAGCAAAACATTCTGCTTTATTAGCAGAAAATAACATCTCAAATTGAGTGAAGAGAAGAGAGATAGAGGACTTAACCCTTTTAGCTATATGCTACCTCATTCTGTCAGTGAACAAAGACTTGTTCTCATTGAGTTTACAATTATTATGAGTGGAGACGAAGAGTTGTCTATTGTGATCAGAACTATCATGTTTGTTCAGATTGGAAAAATCGTGATTCCTGTGGGTTATAGCAGCTGAACAGGCAGGTGTGAACCAATGAGAGGATTGTGGTTTCACCTGGTATTTCAAAGATGGCACAAAAGCATCAATGCTATATTTATTCAAGAAGAAACCGCAGTGACACAATTTTCAATAGGAAAATGAAAAATTTCACACCAATGGGAGTCACAAAGAAAATCAGGAAATAATCCCAATCAGTATCCTGCTAGTAGAAACAAGTCTTGTGAATAGAGGGTTCATGTCTAAAAGATGAATTAAAAGAAATATCAACAGATACTACAGTGTGATGTGAATTGCCAAGAGGACAGATTTGTGATGCCTGGCGAGTGCCAAGAGAGTAGGTAAAAAGCATGTTGATCAGAATTATTGAAAGTTTGAATGCCTGTAACATCAGTAACATTAGAATGATTAAACCACTTGACATGATTAGCATTAAAATTGCCAAACACAAAGATATTTGCAGATAAATGTAGAGAGAAAGACAGCCATTTCTATACTGTCAGATATTTTGTTTAATATGTTACATTCCTGAGAAGAGGAGGAGTGGTGAAGATAAAAGAAATAGCTAACAGAGTTCAATAAAGACAGTTGAAAGCACATGAAAGAATCATCTGGGGGCTTAAGAAATGATTACTTTGCTTATGGAAGGTTTTCCCAGATGTAAATATCAAGGTCATACATCCTAAAAACTTTTTTAACATAGAGGAAGCCTGGAATAGGAATTTATTGGTAGAAATAGAAGAGTAAATTAGTTTCATAAAGATATCTGGAGAACATTTCAATAGAAAAGACTACAGAAATTGGTATTGACACCATTGGAGAAAGAAACATTGGGGTGGGGGGTAGGTGATTTTTTGGTTTATGTTAAAAAAAAAATAAAGAGTAAACTTTTTTTTTAAACTTCTTTTATCTTACATGTTTTTTTTTTTTTTAAATGTATTAAATCAAATTATAGCAATTTTTAATGCCTTCTAATGTTTCTGTGAGTTTAACATATCTTTACTGATCATTAGCACACAGATTATAGTCTTGTTATCGCAGCCATAAAATCATTGAAACAAATATTGATTTTGATAAGCACTGTCTCCCACTTGCTAATCACAATTAATTTCCATTTTTGGAAAATATGACCCTTTCACATTGGCTGCTCAAACAAAAGTTTTTCTTCAAAAGTGCACAAAAAATTAAACTGAATTACATTTTTGAATGTAACTGAATTTATTTTAAGGTTCAAAATATTTCTTTCATTCATATTTCATTCTTTCATTCATAATTTTAAATCATAGACACAAATTTAATAACATTTAAATTGCAAAATTTCTAAATTTAATGTTAGGTTGTTTTATTTTGTCATGTCAACTTTCGTTGGATCATTTAATTTTGAATTTTGTATGGAACACAGTGACGATCAAACTTGCTACTTAGTAGTAACGCTCAACCAGACTAGCCTTATTAACAATTACTCCATGCTGAGGCACTTTTCTAAATTTGAGTTATTCTACCTAAGTTAAGCAGAGATTGTATATCAATTTCTATAGAGATTTTAATTACAAAGAATAAATTTATAAATATTCCATGATGAAAAATTTTGTTCAGTTTATTAAATAAAATAATTTTATTATGCCGTTTCACTTAACTAATTCTGAACACATCCTGTTGTGTGCTGTCTTTAATCTGTCTAATTTGTAGAGTACTTATTCAAACTAATCCTTTGGTCCTTTAGAAAGATCTTATTGTAGAGGTCTCCCTTGCAAGCCCATCATTTACATTTAAGGTGATGCTGTCTAGTTAGTGGCAGTTCACTACACTTTCATCATAATCTTTTCCATTCCAGGTTGTATTTATTTTTCATTACCTATCATTACTTAGTCACACTTGGAAATATGGTAAATTGTTTTTTTTTATGTGGAAGTCACCCATTAAGATGACTAACATAACCTAGCTGGTGCAAATAATTTTCAGCTCTTGAGTTGGATATTTTGAGTATACCGATTGTTTCTTCAGTTGTATGATTAGTCTCAAGTAGATATCTTCATTTGATGACTATCAACTTCAATGGTCTACCCAACTATGAAACATCATTCAGCAAGAAATCTCCAGTACAAGACTTTTCAAGTCCCTATGGACATGTTCATTCATTTATAGTACTTTCTCCATAAACTGCACAAATCTTTTTATACATTGGTGTCATATTTTACCTTTCTTGAAATTAATGAGTATAATATACCACAAATTTTGCTTATTTTCTTCTATCTTCAGTATTTGAACCAATAAACAAAAATATTCTAGTTTTAACAGATTTTGTTAAAGAATGTATACTGACATGACAGCTATTCTTACAAACCCAACTGATATTTGTGGATGAAGTTGAAAGTACTCTTAATGCTCTTGAACAACAAAAACAGCTTCCCAGTCAGAAAAGACATTTTTCTACAAGATGAAATATGGAATTTTGAATGTACACAAAGCTAGGATTTGTCTAATACAAGAGAAACTTCAAAGTAATGCCTCCAATTTATTTCTACAGGTAGAACAATAAAAGTATTAGAGCAGGTTTTCAGTTACAAAGCACATAATCACCACCATTGGTTATACTATGCTTAACATAGGTAGAATTCTTCAATTTGTAGGTTAACACCTGTGTAGGGCTGTCTAGAATGTGGTTTGTCATACACATCATTGTTGCCACAGCTGAAATCATTTAGCCACTGTGATCACATCCAGTTTGGTCACTGTAAATGTTTAACAGGAATCAATGAATATCAATGTGTGCAATATTTCTGCATGACACAACTGATTAATTATGAAAATTAATTTTATATTTTTGCTAAGTAGAAAAGGTTTTCTCTTTAAAAAACTAGTTTTATTTTTTGTTCTATACTTGACTTTATTTAAGTGATTTCTGAATGTGTATCTTTTGCTAGATTAAACAGTCTGAACAAAATTTGGACTTACTTGTCTACATATACTTGTATGTATACCTACTTGTCTACATAATATCTTTCCATATTTCTTGTACATTGCCATTTTACTTGACACACACACACACACACACAAAAAAAAAAAATTTCAAATATAACCTTCACCCCAATCAAGTCACATACTCCATTCTCTCCTGTTTCTTCTTCCTCAGTCTTTAGCTCCTTTTAGCTTTGTTGAGTAATACCAACCTTATGGGTCATCTGGCCTTCTTTTCCTTTTTTGGTTGGGGTTGGCGTGTCGTCTTGAAAAGGTTTTGGGAAACTTGAATCAACCCTATGATATTGGGGATTGACAATGCAGTCTAGTGTGGACACATCTAAGTATGTGGTGTACCACAGACAAGATTGCATAATTCCTGTCTGTGGCCATGGTAACTTTTGTCTCTTTGGACAACTTCTGAATCAGGTTGGAATAAGAACTCCATCAATAAAATGCACAACACTGTTGATAATTCTAAAAACAGGTTTATTGAATATAAAGAAAAACTGGTTGAATAAAATGTTTTTATTATCTTCAAGTTCTCTACTGCAGGAATTGTGATTTGTGAAATCTAGTTGCAAATGTTAAAGTAATAATCAGTCAATTTATTCTCATTCAATTCTTCTGTCATGTGTGTTTTTGTGTTTTTGCTCCAGTTGCATTTGGCCAGAGTAAAATCACAGACATCATTGTAAAATATATATATATTTATATTCAAAGTTAAAAAAAATCAAATATCCTATATGAACCTCTCCATTAAGATAAAAATTTCAAGAGACATTTTTTAGTCATAACTGTTGCATTCTAACATTAATTTGTTTATATTTATTTGAATGTCTTGTAGCATTCTAATCAAAAACAATACAGGAAAAAAACATAGACATGAATATAAAGCTACTTATATTTCAGAAATATGGGAAATTTTTCTTAAAAATGGTGATTAAGTGCTGTAATTACTGCCAAGGATGAAACTGAAGATATATAAGATATATTTTTGTGGTTGAAGTACATAATCTATTCTATGATTAGGATTTCAATTTGTAGGATTTATATGATTATAACATTTCTTCATTGATGCTGGTTTTCAATAGAGTAGATTCTGGAACTGAAGTTACAATGAATTTATTTTTTTTTGTTTTGACAATGGTTGGAGTAAATCTGATCTTTTTATGTCTTTTGGACTTTTTGGTGGGAACCTCTTCTTTGTAGTTAGGGAATGAAAATGGACGTGCCATCAAGATGCCTGGAGAAGGAATAATAGTTTCATAATTGCACAATTTTGAGTAAGAAAGGCTGTGTATCGTATGTGCTGTTTGATTTTCTTCAGAAGATTGCAGCTTATATGGTAGAGTCCAGTATGGGTTGTAAGGTAGAGACGTAGAAATATCCTGAAAGGAAGAAAAGACACAATCATTTTTTAAAATTAAGGATTGAATAATTATGTATCAAAATATATAAGTAACAAAAGAGTTTGAGTCAGGTAGCTAATTCTTTTTATAAAAGCAAAAAGAAAGTTATTAAAAGATTCTATGAATTGGCAATGTTGAAATTGTTCAAAAGAAAAACCATAGAGCAATACTTTTTCCATGGCTCAAAATAGTTTAGTGTGAACTTGTACTCAAATGTAAAATGTGCCAGAAAAAAAAAATTCAGCAAAAGTGGCTATCAATTTGCTTATCTCCATATTGAAACTTACTCTTACTTTTTCTTGTTATTCATCAATTTTTAAAAATATGAATATTTTAATTTTTTTAGATTTATTAGCATTAGGAGATCTAAGTTATTATTGTGAAGTAAATTTCAGTAACATTTTTAATGTAGTTAATTGGATTGAATATTCAAACTTAACTGACAATAAATTTTATTGGTAATTGGTATAATGAAGACTTGAAATAAAAGTTTTGATTATACCAATTATGAGAATCTGAAAAAATCTCAAGAACTGGGATATTTTAATCTAAAACTTATTCAAGAAATTTGTATAGCATTTAAATAATAAAAAGTCTGAAATAAGCAGTTTTAAAGAAGTGTAAACTTTACATTTTTATTCATATAGGGTACACTACTATGAAGATAATATTTTAGTTTAATAAAACCTTTAAAGCTTCAGGTTTAAATTATGCATATAAATGAAAGTTTAGAAAATGTTTTATTTCAGTCATTAATACTTTTTGTTTGAATTTTGTTTTAAAAACAAAATGAGATGAAATAATTTCCTTACTTGTAAGATCCTTTCAAAATGAATGTTATTTCTTTTCATTGAATTTTCTTCAAATTGGCTGGATTTGGTTAGTTTCTATAAGAATAATATAACCAGGGTGAAATAAATTAGTATAATTATTATCCATTGATTTGCTAAGTGCTTGACTTGTTTATCATCAGCTGTCTGTCATTGTTTGTTTGATCCATGAGGGGACATTGTTCTCACTGTACTGTCAATATTACAGGATATTTTGTATCAGTTAATTCTGATTTGTCCTCGTCATGTTACTTGTCTCTTTCATGTGACTTTTTATCACTATCCAACACAGGGGTTGAACTCACAATTACCAGGTAACACATTTCATTCAAGAAATAATACTCTTATCCACTAGGATAATTCAATGACATCTTGGAGGCTTAAATTTAATGTTACTTATCTTGTTCTTTTCAAGTTAACCAAAGTGTATGGATTTTTCCTCATTACCCAACCCAAGGATTGAACTAGGGAATATGACTTTTACATTGCCTATAGTATAATGAGGTGGTTTGAAGTCTAGTATTTTTCTTAATAAAAGGATCACTAATAGTTTTAATTTCTATACTAGGATTACTAGTATTATTAGCATACATACTGATTTTCACCTTTTTTCAATGTTCTTTATTATTCTGATTTCTGATAGGGTTTGTTGGCACCCCCACAACTTTTTCCCTGAAAGCTAATGTTATGCTTACACAATAGGTTGTTTCTCAGGCTGATCATCTTAGAAGCAGGCATCACATAAGAGCATTTAATTCAGAAAGAAAGAGCTTAAAGAGACTTAAAAGTCCAAATGTCACCATCTAATTACATTACAAGAGTAAAAGTTACATACTCTTGCTAAAAAAGCAGATAAACAACATTAGTTTTAAGACACCAAATTATCATCAATTATCCAATGGAACACCTGGCCTTGTGCTTAAGTGAATCAAATTACCTGGTGAGTTCAATTACTAGGTTGAGAAAAAGGTCAATTGAAGAGATATGCAATATCACAAGAACAAATTAACTCAATAGAATTAGCTGATATGTGATGTTCTCGCATGGGTAGTGGAATGAGAATAATTTGCCCCCATAAATTGAATAAAGTGTTTGGTTTGAAATTAAGGCTGGAGGGTAAAATATTTTAAATGTTGTGATGATATCAACCAAGATGAGGATACTAGTAGTGCAAACAAATCAATGTATCAAGACATTTCCCCATCTCAAAAAAGTCAGACAAAATTTTATATCAGTAGATCTATATTTAGACAGCTGGGACATTTAACTTTTCATGATATTCTCTATTTCACAAAGTAACTTTGATGATTTTACATAAACAGCAGACCAAAACAGACATTTTAAAAATTTAACATTTTTGAAATGTTTTTACAAATATGACCAATCATTAAAAAATAATATTTTGCTAAATAAATCTAATCAATCTGAAATATGAAAGGCTATTTTTATACAATAAACTTTTTTTGAATGTTGAATTTCCCATCTGTGATTTTAAGTGTTAGAATTTCTCTCTAGTTTTTTTCTGATTAATTAAAAGAAATTTTGCTAAAAAAGGAAGCATATTGAAAATAAAGAATTATAAAATTTATTCTGAGTCACTTTTATGGTTTTTGGATATTTTTTACATGTGATAGTAGTAGTGAGGGATGCATCAAATAAAAAATCCAATTCAAAATAACCAAATATATAAATGTTTTGATATTAAAAAAAATTACCTCCCATTCATTCTTGAATTTTTGATGAAGAGAAGCAGATTCTGATCCTTTCATAGTCTTGTAAGAATCTCTTGCAACCTAGAAACAGAAATTTAATTAAAAAATAAGTCAACTCTAGACAATAAAATAACATCATAGTCAGATAAAGGAATATATTTCTGATATTAGAATTGTGTTTGAAAAAATAAAATGTCTGTTTTATTATGAAATCATAAGTTGAGAATATTTCTTAATACTCTAACTACCATAATTATTTCTGCATAATATGCACACTAATTTTGGGCTATGAAATTATTGGGAAATAATGACTCATGTATTGACTTTTTAGAATTTATAGTAATTTAAATTTACCATTTCTTCAACTTCTTATCCAGTTCATATTAACTGAAAATAAGAATTTATTTAGTTTAAATTGTTTTAAAGCACAAAATTTATGCATTATTTAAAACTAATGCATGGTCACAAAAAAATGTGTAAAAAACTTGTAGCAAAAATAAACTCACACCAGGAAAAAACAATTATAAACAAACACATATTCCATTTCCATTCTTTGTAACAGTGTAAAACAGAAGTGAATATTACTATGTCCACATGTGGCATATACTAAGATGAATCAAAAGTTTTTTGAGGTTTTGATCTTTGGTAACTTGTATCTCCATGTGATATCATTAATTTGATACGACTTGTCTAATTGTTGCTGAATTGTTTATTCTTTATTTTCATATGAATTGTTTATATTTCACAGATTTGATAATGAGTGGTGAAAAAAATTCCAATTAGAGCCATTTTATGCTACCTGTAGAAAAAAAGACTGAGTGCAAGAGCAGTGACAAAAGAAATTAATGATGTGTAAGGCCTAGGAACTGTCAAAAAGCATGTGGCATAAAACTGATACAGATGTTTCAAGGAAGGTGACACCAGCCTCAAAGACAAATCAAGGTCAGGGAGAACTTCTGTTGTGGGAGATGAGGCCCTGCTTGATATGGTTGAACAACAGTCAAGCTCATGCACTCATACATTGTTGGCAGAACTTGGTCCTTCATAAACCACCATCAATTGACACATCCAAAAGCTCAGCCTTGTGAACAGACCTCATCAAGAAATTCATCATGAACTGATCAATGATCAGGATCAATAGCATGTGAACATTGGCAAACAAGTGCTGGCATATTCTCAAGATGGACATTTTTGACATCAAATTGTAACGGTGATGAAAAATGAATCTATTTTTGTAATCCTAATGAGAGAAATCAGTGGCTTCATTCTGGCCAGGCTTCAGAACCTACTGTCAAAAAAAGTGAGTTTCAACAGTAGGTGATGTTGTGTATTTCATGGAATTTTGAGGAAGTGTTGCATTTTGAGTTTGTTTCAGATGGTCATGCTGTGAACATTGATCTTTATGCTCAACAAATGCAGCAAGTATATGATACTTTGAAAGCCCACTATCTGGCATTAGGCAATCAAAGACATGCACTTCTACAGTATGACAAATGCCCCAGCACACATTGTGACCAAGTGAAAACTTGAGGGGATGGGAGTACTGCTTCAATTTGTCTTAAGTGCAGATTTTGATCAGATTACCACCTTTTCCAATTTTCCAAGTCATTTCCTGCATGGATAGAGGTTCAACAATGAGATTGAAAATGTGTGCAGGGAGCTTCTTACCTCTAAACCAGCCAAATAATATAAGTGTGGAATTGAGTTTCTGGCACAACAATGGCAACAGACAATAAAGTATGATAGGATATGTTTTGATGAATAAAGGCTTTTCGTCTGTAATTTGTTTGAACTATGAATTAAAAAAACCTTTGACTCAACCTAGTAAATGAACTGAAAATAATTTCTATGTGTCAGACATCAGCAGTCAGCCATGATATAGCTTTCCCTGTTAAATGCAATCAAATGTTGTTTATCTCAAACCAAATCCCCTATACACTTCTGACTGTCTATTATTTTGACCAGGATGTCTAAACTATCATCTTACACAAGTGCAGAAAATTTCACATGCACATACACCTCAAAGGAAAATGGAAACCAGGCAGTTGTATGTTTTAAGTACATTGACTTTGGTGCAAAAAATAAGTTCCAAATTCAATTCATGCTGAAGTCAAAGAAGGCAGACGCAGGGAAATCAACAGTATTTCTGAAATTGGAAAAAGAGCTGATAAAGTGTGAGTAAGAATTGCTGGCATTGGAATTAGCATGAGTGACATGTGTCTGAATGCACTAGGAATCACAAAGATGGGAACAATGCCGACAACTTCATACCCAGTTTTGAGTGGTACCAGCATTTTATTGAGAGACATAATTTATCAGTTTGTTACTGGACTCACACAACAAAGAAATTGTCTTCAAAGTTTGAAGACAACTTACAGGAGTTTCAGTATTTCATAAGACAACATGACATTATGGATAATGACTTATCACAGAGGAAGAAGGACAAGATAACTGCTGACAAAATAGATGAAATTGTCATGATGTTGACCTTTGACACAGACACAAGTGAAGCAGACTAAAACATGCTTAATGTGAAAATAGATGTAGTAATTGATTAAAACTTTGTTAGACATTAGTTTAAGCTAGTGCTTCTTAATCTATTGATTGCGATCCCAAATGGAGTTGCTGGGGTTGCGAAAATTATATTCAAACACTTGAATTTCAGTTTATATGTTATTTCACAAATGCACAATATTTAACATGATGCACCATGCAAGCACTGTGGTAATAAAATGTGTGTGCAGTGCTGTGACTAGTGCAATGACAGAATCTGTATTTTCAGTGTAGTTGTTTAATACCTGGCACTGCAAAAAATCTTGTGATGAAAAATGGTGCCATGAATGAAAAAGTTTAAGAAATGCTAGTTTAGACCATAGATATAACTTACTATGATTCATACCATCATATGAATATAGTGACACACATGCATATTATACACAAATAATTATGGTACATAGTTGTTATGGGACCTACCTTTATGGACTAAATGGACTCGTCCTATTACTATATATATGGGGAGATTATGCCTCTCAAGAGAGCTGTCTACAGTTGACCTGTTCCAGCTAAACAATTGAAATCTCTGCCTTCGGGTGAAGAGAAACCCGGACGAGGTTCTGCCGAAGGGCAGAGACTTCTTCGAGGAGGTTGACTCCCCTGAACCCATTTATGCGGGTTCAAAGAGGGAATGTTTTTGGCCGAGGCTACGGGCTTAAAGATCCCACGTTAAAGTGGCCTTGTGCCACATGTAACCCTCATGGGTGGGGGGGATAACTAAATATCGCTGTCTACAGTTGACTACTGTACTTTGCCGTCAGTCGGACGTGCAACACTTTTGTATTTGTTCTTTTTGTTTAATAATATATATCCACTAAATTGCTGAATTTGAGTTTTCTTTTGAACCTATTCTGGGTCCACAATACTGGCGACGAGGATTTAAAGAACTCCATGGGAGAACCATAAAAAAAAAAAAATTGTTTACCAGTGTCTACAACACTGGCGACGAGGATTCAAAGAACTCCACGGGAGAAACATAAAAGAAAGAAAAATATGTTTACCAGTCTCTACAACACTGGCGACGAGGATTTAAAGAAATCTACGGGAGAAACATAAAACAAAGAAGAATTTGTTTACCAGTCTCTACAACATTGGCGACGAGTATTTAAAGAACTCCACGGGAGAAACATAAAAGAAAAAAAAAATTGTTTACCAGTGTCTACAACACTGGCGATGAGGATTTAAAGAACTCCATGGGAGAAACATGAAAAAAAATAAAAATTGTTTACCAGTGTCTACAATACTGGTGATGAGGATTTAAAGAACTCTATGGGAGAAACATAAAAGAAAATAAAAGTTGTTTACCAGTGTCTACAACACTGGTGACGAGGATTTAAAGCACTCCACAAGAGAACCATAAAAGAAAAAAAATTTGTTTACCAGTGTCTACAACGCTGGCGATGAGTATTTAAAGAACTCCACGGGAGAAACATAAAAGAAAAAAAGAGAAAAAATTGTGCCAAAGTTATAAACTTTATGTTTCGTGGTTGTCCAAAAAACTACTGTGTATGAGAATAACACATTTAAAGAGAAAAAAAAGTCTTTTTTTTTTTCTCTTCCCCTCCGAGCAACACAAAGGTTGGGTACAATTAAAATTACGTTAGAAGCGTAATACTGAAAATTAAAACATGGAAGAGTTTAAATCTACTATGTTAGAATTGGTTAGAGTTCAGGTTGAACAACAAGGAAGAAACAAAGAAAAACAATTAGAATTACAGCAAAAACACAAAGAACAATAATTAAAATTTCAGCAACAAATGATTTGCTTCTACAAACAGGGTTGAATAAGGGTCAAAATACAGAGAGCAAAACTACTTTTTCACAAAATGCGATTTGGAGTGCAATTGACAATTTCACTTATTTGCCAGATGAAGATAAAACCTACGCTTCATATTTCAGAAGGTATGAGGATCTATTCGAAATAGATTGTGTGAAATGGGCAGACGCTAAAAAACTACGCCTACTGCTCTGGAAATTAGGGACTATTGAACATAGCAAATTTGTGGACTACATATTACCTCGAAAAACTAGTGATTTGACTTTTGTTCAAGCTGTAAATCTCCTTACAGAATTATTCAGCCCAAAAACGTTGTTATTCCACAAAAGGTGGAAGTGTTTAAACCTAACCAAGAAAGACAGCGAAGATTGCTCAACGTTCGCATTGGTAGTTAACAAACATTGTGACGATTTTAAATTGGCTGAACTTACTGCAGACAATTTAAAATGCCTAATATTCATACAAGGACTTGTATCAATGGAAGATGCAGAAATTAGACGTAGAGTCCTAAGCAGGTTAGAGGGAGAACCAAATTTAACTTTACAAAATATAGCCGAGGACTGCCAAAAAAAGTGTAAAAAATGATTCTAGAGACATTGAAGAGTCAGGCGTTGCACACATAAGAAAAATACATCGAAAATCACATTTTTCCTCCCCTTCAAAAACAAGTCAAACCAAAAAAGATTATTTTCACTCTCCTAAGAAAAAAAGTCAACTCAATGAAAAACAGAAAAATTTACCGCCTAGTCCATGTCACCATTGTGGAGCACTTCATTGGTTTAAAGATTGCTAATATCGGTTTAAAACCTAACTTGTAATAAAGTTGGGCACAAGAGTTCACATTGCAAAGCAAATAAAGGAGGAAAAAGCCAAATTAGAACCACAAAAACAGACGAACTGGACATCAAAAATATAAGAAAGTATGTGCAGGTAGAAATACTGAATAAAAAAGTCAGGTTACAATTAGACTCCGAGTCTGATTTATCAATAATCAACCTACATACTTGGAAAAGGTTAAATAAACCAACCATGCTAAAAACCGGCAAAATAGCTAGGTTGGTGACCGGTAAAAAAATTAAGTTTGAGGGTGAAATTATCGCGAACATTACTTTGAATGAAACAACCAAAAAAAACACAGACAATCTATTTGGCACAGATTGGATGCAGCAGTTCAATCTGTGGGATTTACCAATTAATACTTTTTGTCAGAAAATAGAAAATCTGACGACCAAGTCAGATAAACTAAGAAATGAATTAAAAGAAACCTTCCCCGAGGTTTTTTCAGCTGGCCTTGGTAGATGCAAAAAGATGTCAGCAAAATTTGAGCTAAAAGAGAACACTCAACCAATATTTAAGAAAAAAAGGAATGTGCCTTTCACCTCATTAGAGGAAATAGACAAGGAATTAGACAGACTTGTAGAGACTGGCATTTTATCTAAAGTGGAATATAGCCAATGGGAAGCACCAGTAGTGTATGTAAAGAGGAAGTCTAAGGAAATCCATGTGTGCGCAGATTTTTCTACTGGACTAAACGCAGCACTAAAAGATTATCAAAACTTAATGGAGGCAAGTTCTTTTCGAAAATCGATCTCAGCAAAGCTTATCTCCAGATACCCGTTGAGGAAGAAAGCTCAAAATTACTATGTATAAATACAGGCTTATACAAATTTGAAAGGCTTTGCATTTGTTTTCAGCAGGTTATGGACACCATGCTGGGTGGACTTGACTTTTCAATGGCTTACCTAGATGACATCTTGATAAACAGTAAAAGCTTGGAACAACACCGGGAACACATCCACAAAGTATTTTCACAAATACAAGACTATGGCTTCAAAATAAAGGAAGGCAAATGTGACTTCTTCATGAAAGAAATCAAATATTTGGGTCACATCATAGACAAAGAGGAGACCAGACCCAGAAAGGGCCACTGCAATTAAGGACATGCCAGCTCCTGAAAATATCATAGTGCTACAGAGCTTTTTGGAGTTAGTGAATTACAACCAAGCATTTATCCTAAATATGCATAACCTCCGTGCCCCGCTGAACGAGCTTTTAAGAAAAGATAAGGTTTGGGAATGGACACCCGAATGCCAGGAGGCATTCGCGAAAACTATCAAAGTCCTAACATCGGATTTATTCCTTTCCTCGAGATCATAGTTGCTAGCGATGCAAGCTCACATGAAATAGAAGCATGCATCCTTCATAAAATGCCAGATGGAACGCAAAAACCCATTGCTCATGCATCAAGGACCCTGCTCCCAGTGGAAAAGAACTATTCCCAAATAGAAAAAGAAGCATTAGCAATCATATTCTCAGTCACAAAATTTCACCGTTACATAGAGGGAAGATTTTTCACATTACAAACGGACCATAAACCGCTACTCAGTATTTTCGGGTCAAAAAAAGGATTACCCGGTTATACGGCAAACAGACTGCTGAGGTGGGGGACAATTCTCCTAAATTACAACTTCAAGTTGGAATACCTCCCCTCGAAAAAATCTGTCATGCTGACGGACTTTCTAGACTGGTTCCAAGACATAGGGAACCCTTAGAAGATTCTGTGATCACTTCACTATGAATGGAGGGGGAAATAAAAACTTTATTGTGTAGCACTATAAGAGAACTTCCTGTGATGCTACAAGAAATAAAACAAAGCCCGCAATGATGAATTCATTAGCGCAACAAAAACAAAAATTTCAGAGAAGGACCAACATATATCAGACAGTTTTTCCCTATGTGACGAGGTACTCCTATACAGCGAGAGAGTCGTCATTCCAAAAAACCTACAGAAGAGAATCCTGAAGGATTTTCACATTGGGCATCTGGGGAAAAATAGGATGAAAAGTCTAATGAGCAGCTATGTATACTGGCCTAAAATGGACCAGGACATCGAAAATATGGTCAACACATGCAAAGGTGGTGCATTGGCGACAAAAGCACCACCTATCACACATAAACCGTGGCCAAAGACGGACCGACCTTGGTCAAGGATCCATGTGGACTTTACGGGACCGCTAGAGGGATTCTACTATCTAATTGTAGTAGATAGTTATTCAAAATGTCCGGAAGTGTAAAATCCCACCACAGAGGCAACAATAAGCTACCTTCACGAATTATTTGCTCGTTTTGGGGTAGTAGATTGCTTGGTCAGTGACAACGGAACTCAATTTACTTCAACCGACTGAAAAATCTTGCAGAACTCTAAAGAGTTCTGCAAGATTTTTCAGATAAAACACATTACGACCCCCCCATATCACCCGAGGTCGAACGGTCAAGCAGAACGTTTTGTAGACACCCTAAAAAGAGCCCTGAAAAAAGCTTGTGGCACCCCAAAGGAAAAGGCCCTTCGGCAGTTTTTACAAGTTTACAGGATCACACCAAATATTAACGCGCCAGCTTCACTATCTCTGGCAGAAATAATGTTTGTGTGTAAAGTAAGACCCGTTTTTGATAAATTGCTGCCCAAACAAACAAAACAAGGTCCGACCTCTATTGTACCAAGGAAAAAATACAGTCCAGGGGAAAAAGTATTCTTCAAGATGTTTAAAAATAACACATCTTTCTGGGAACCTGGTACGATAGAAAAGAGGATTAGAAATATGGTCTACATAATCCAAGGCCCTCCTTTTTCTCATAAGAGACACCTGAATCAAATCAGGAAACGACTGTTGGGTGACTGCAACAGTATTCCCCAGGAAGAAGAAGAAGTTATGGATACCATTTACAACACCTTCGACATTCAAATACCCCAAGCAGCTCCAGAACTCTGATGATCTAAAAGAAAGCGGAAATCCACGGACCCTCTCATCATCAATCCAAAAAGGAGACGATATTGAGACTCCTGCAGAGGTAAAGGCTTCAGAGGTGGGTGTTATGGGACCTACCTTTATGGACTAAATGGACTCGTCCTATTACTATGTATATGGGGAGATTATGCTTCTCAAGAGAGCTGTCTACAGTTGACCTCTTCCAGCTAAACAATCGAACTCTCTGCCTTTGGGCGGAGAGGAAACTAGACGAGGCTCCACTGAAAGGCAGAGTCTCGTTTGGGGAGGTTGACTACCCCTGAACCCGTGTATGCGGGTTCAAAGAGGGATTATTTTTGGCTGAGCCTACAGGCTCAGAGATCCCACATTAAACCGGCCTTGTGCCACATGTAACCCTTGTGGGGGTGGGGTAACTAAATATCGCTGTTTACAGTTGACGAGTTGACTACTGTACTATGCCCTCAGTCAGACGTGCAATACTTTTGTATTCATTCTTTTTGTTTAATAATATGTTTTCACTAAATTTCTGAGTTCGAATTTTCTTTCGGACCTATTCTGGGTCCACAACAATAGTAAAGTCATAGATGCTTGTACCTTACAAGTTGTATAATGTTAATTATAACAGGTTTTTTCTTCAGATTATGCCTTGTAATGATGTCATCTTAATTAGCCTACTGATAATAAACTAATTGTTGATAAATAAATATTATTTTGTTATACTGTATTGCAAAAATGTTCTCTTTGTTAAAATTATTCCTTTCTTTTACAATCTAATAAGATAAAAAATTTAATATTTTTAAGTGACAAATGAAGAGATTTAATTTTCAAACTCCCAAAGAATTTTCTAAAATAAAACTTTAAAAAATTAACAATTTAGCATTTAAAAAAAGATAAAAAACAAAATCCACTTACTTTTAAATCACTACCCCAGAATTCAACTGTATTTGCAGAAGATGTTAGGGGAAGAACTTCCTTGATCTGATTAGAGTAAAAATTTAAAACAAAATAGTTTTAAATGAAATAAAATGAGTAAATTGTAATTTTACTTGCAAATGATTTTTTGTTTATCATTTTGTTGTTGTTATATTTGACTATTAGTGCTATGAAATTCAAGTAACTTGATAGAAACCTTTGGAATTTACATCTACTAGACTAATTATCAAAGAGTTTTTTTTTTACCTTGTTTGTAAGATTAGGTTTCATTTTCCTTTGTAGAATAAAACTCAGCATTAGAAAACTATGAGTACAAACAGTTAGTCCCAAATATCATTAAACTAGATATGCAGTTTGTGTCAATTTTTACAAGAAACACACTTATTCAGGATATTTTAGACATCAAAATTAAAAATGAAATCGCTTAAATCAAAGTCAACCCCAATATGAAATATTTTAATAAAGTCTCTAAATAAACCAGATGAACTATTAATATCATAATTTTCTTAAAAATTGTATGTAGGGCACCAATGTCTCATATGCAATGTTTTGGCTAACAATTTTGCAGAATCTGTGAAGTCAATTTTTTTAACTAATGTCTCTCTGATCTATGATGACTACATTATCTTTCATAATATGTAAATATTAATTTGCTTAATAGAATTACAGTATTTTGTTCTTTTCTTTTGTATATTAACATATTTGTTTAGACTAAAATATTCATTTAATTTGTGCTTTAAGATGCTTAATTTAGCACATCAGTTTACTGACATTTTAGGTCATTAATCTTGTATTAGAATTTTATGATTACAATAACTAAGTTATAGATATAAAAAACAAGTCAAAAATCAATTTTTATCTTATAAATGATTGTAACTTACTATTATATATAATGATAGATTGAGATTAGAAAATAATGTTTCAGTTCATAGCTGCTAAGAATTTTATTGCCAAGTAACTTTGATAGATACAAGAATATTTGATGGCTAAGTGTACTGCCCATTCCTTGAAGTTTTGAAATTGTCATTCATAAGAACCATTTAAAAAAAAAAAAAACTTTTTTTTAATGCTTTCTGGGAAGTGACACTTTGATCCTAGGTTGAGTGACATAGTAACTCTTATCTTGGGTTAATATGCAAATTCGTATATAAATAATCTTATCAATTTTCACAGATACTATACTATACTATACTATACACACACACACACACACATATATAAATTCTTTAGAAATTGCTTTATGTTTCAGATATGATATCAAGCAGATATGGGCTTTCAAGACAATCTGAACAAGATAATGTGCATTTTTTTTAAAAGGGTAAATAGAAAAAGTTGCTGATCTGTGAGTCTGAGTGATCTAAAGCACACCAGATCAGACAGAGGATTTTCCTACTAAGAGGTTTTGTTATGATGATCAAACTTAGTAACCGTAGATATTTTATGTACACTGCCTCAAAGTCACCCATGAGCTATAGTTACAGATCTCTTTATGCTAATTACCTATTAGCTAAACCAGTCCCATTACATCTCCCTGAATCTTGGGTTTCACACCCTGAATGGATTTATGGCTTCTCCTACATTTCATTTTTGCATATTAATGCCATATTGAATCCTTTTTGCATTATGAAATTTGCCTTTTTTGGCTTGTTTTCTTTATTTCTTTTGTACCATGTTTTTCATTTATAGAGTAATACATGGTTAATGAAACTCTTATTGGTCTGCACATTAATGCAACTCTAATCTGTCAGCATGTAATATCATTCTGTAACTCAACAATAATCTTAGTAGGAAAGTTTCAATTTTTTCTTGCTGAGAAGAAAATGCTTTCAATCCCATCTTTATTGTTTGGACCATTCATTCAGCAATCCCATTTGATTGAGGATGGAAAAGAGGTGTTTCATATGGGACACAGCCAATCTTCCTTAACCACAAGCAGAGACTTTTATCACAGAATTGGGGAGCATTATCACTTACTAATGTTTTTGGTATACCATTTCTAGCAAATATTATGCATAATACTTGGTTTACTGAAATACATTTTTTATCCTGAACTCGGAAAACTTCAGGCCAGGTGGAAAAAGTGTTAACCAGTATTAGACATAACTTACCCCATTAACTTGTTTATGATCCATATGAACTCTAGACCATAGTTTTGTTTTCTTAGGCCAAAAGAGTAACTTATTGTGATGAAAATTCTTTATTTTGGTACATTTAGGACATTTGCATATGTAATTCTACACATCTTGTGTGTCCCAGCTGCCACACTTCCAGTTTTAACTGTTTTTATGTAGCGGTTATCCCACAATGCATATTTAATTACTTCTTTTCTACATTTTTCTGGTGGTATGACTAAATCCCCATTACAAATTAGACCGTTTTCTATTGATAGTTGTAGATGTTGTATTTGTTGTATTGTCTGGTCTTTTGTAGACTAACTTCCTTTTTTCTTCCCTCCATCTTTCGTACACTGCATATTTATATTTTCTCAAATATCGTGGTTGCTGTGATTTTGCGTCAATTTGTCAGCATAAAAACAATATGGCTTCCCCACAAGATTCTTTTTACGTATGGGTGTCCATGGAGTAGGTTTTTTTTTTTCAAACTACATGCCCCCCTGATCTCATGATCATATCTCATGTTACATAGTCATCCATCCATCTGGGTGGGTGTCGCTCTCTTTATGATCTCCGCAGTGTTTGGGGATGAGCCTCATGAGAACTTCTATTGTCCCCATCATTCTCTGAACCCTCCTGAATCACTCTAAGGTCAAGAACATGTCTTGGCATACCATCCACCTCAACATTGTTGCATGACTGTGCCCCGATAACTGTTCCTCTTGTCCATTTTGCCGTGCAGTGGGCTCCAGTTGGCTTGACCCAAACCTCCTCTCCAATCCATAAAGATTCAGGCCCATCAGAGTGTGTTAAACATGATCTAACTTTAGGAGGTCTTCATTGATATGTGTAAATTGCTCTGTGTGGCACAGTGTCTTCACGTTGGCCAGTTTTAGGTAACATATAATACCGTTTCAGCAGGCGATATCCCTCCTCTCTCGGCAATGGCTTTTATAGTTCAGTGGTTTTGTTCTACGATACCATTTCCGCTAGGCCTGTACACTGCTCTATTGCCTAGTGTTCCACTTGTCCAACATTTGAAACACTTCCGAATGGAATACTGCCCTATTGTCCATGAGTACCTCTTCAACTGGCGAACCGGCCAGGGCCACAATCAACTATAGTCAGGTACATTTCACCTCTATAATGCATCACAACAGATAACCTGGTCCATTTGGTGTCTACTTGGACCTCTCCTAATTTGTGACATTTTGACAATGATCGCTGCTTCTAACCACTTTCTGTACAGTATCTCTTGACATCTGCAGGTAGACTTTCTGTACTAGATATAGTGTTCTGTCCACTCCTACATGATGTAATCCGTGCAACTCCTTGACCTCGTCTTGGCCTGCACAGCATGTCACCATAATAGCTTTCTCTACTTTCAGCCAACTCTTTTTCACTCTGGTTAGAGCATTTGCTTTATTTCTGTCAGAGGGCATGAACATTACACTCAATTTTAGGTTAAATTCATCAATCATTTCCCTCAGAATCCCCAAACGTTGCATGATAAGTAGCTCTGCTGCTCTTTTTGTATGGATCCTTTTTTTGTCCATTATCATAAGACTGATCCAACTGTGGACAGTAACTGAATCAGTTCAGATCTCGATCTCTTTTAGACCCCATTTCAACGTGAGATTTACACCCTTTATTGTAGCATCCAACTCAGCAACGTTGATATGGTTGTAGTCACGTTTCTTTCTTAATCACACCGCATCTTCAACTATTACACCAGTGGCCATACTGCTTGCATCACACCATACAATGTCCTTTTCCAATTTGGAAACATGCCATGTCCCTCAAACTGGATTGTGGTGTCGAACCTCTTCCACAACTTCCCGTACTACACTGGTTGTTTCACTATCCACTATGTCTTCCCAATCAATTTCTTCTGCTCTTCTCTTCAAATAACTGCAGGCGATTCTAAGCCATCCAGCTATTGGGTGGTGGTCCACCATTTTTCTGCAGGCAGAGAACAGTTCATGCCTGCTCATGCACTTCTCACAAATACCAGATTTCCTGCCTTGTCTGTATGAAGTCGAAGACCAAATGCTGCTCCTTTTAATGATTCTGGTGGCTTTGCTGTAACAGCAAAGCCAAAGTTGTTAAGATGATTTACAAGGTCTGCCGATGGTACTGCTGTTTCATCCACCAGTATATCGTCAATATACGAATCCATGTCTTTTCTGATGTGTTCCTCTTTTTTTAGCACAGTTTTTAGGATTTTTGACATAATCATTGGAGCTACATTTAGTCTGAACCCCAACTTAGTTCAACAATAGGTCTGTTCCTTGTACCGAACTAACTGGTACTTCCACAAATGCTTTGCGACATGTATTTGCAAAAATGCTGGCCTTAGATCAACAATCTTAGATACTGTTGTTATTTGCCTCCACTTCCTCATTGTTTCTCCACAAACGTCAATTGCATCCCTACCAGAATGACACATAATGTACTTATTTAGTTTTCGGTAATCGAGAACTGGCCTGATCTTGTTTTTTGTGGGTTGTTTCACCACCATTAAGGGTAGCACTCCCGTCTGAACATCCTGGTCCCATGGGGTTAAGATTCCTTCCTCAATCCACCGTTTAACTTCACTATTGAACTCAACCTTCTTCTCCTTACTCAGTTTAGCATGATAGTGATTAACGTTGTGTTTTAATATTGGGGGTTCTGAAATCCATTTCCATTCAATGGTCCACTTCTCTCCATTAAATCTTGCACCAAAGTCCTTATCTGCCACTTCACATTGATTTTTTTTGCTACTCTTGCCGTTTGGCAAGTTTGTTATTCATAGCACAATCTCCTCCTCTGAACTCCACATTACCATTTTTGTAGACGGTAACCCCTTGAAGCTGGCGGATAACATCCATGCCCACAATGATGTCAACACCATCAATGATCTTTTCCATCACAATTGACTCGATTCTCAGTAACCATCCACATATCTCCAATGTTAGTGTTCTGATCCCTCTGCACACAACCTCCCGTCCATCCACTACTCTTACAGTACTTGTACTCCTACAATCAGCCAAAAGACCTGACTGGATTAATGTTGCAGTGCAGCCAATATCAATCAGGGCCCTTGCTCTCCTGCCTTCTATTAGCGTTTCTATTGTTGGTAGCGTTCTGGTTTGCGCCATTGCTGATTTGAAGGGGTAACCACCAGTGCACCGGTTGCCCCCTGTTTTTTTCCCAGTGGGCAGTGTTTTACATAATGCCCCGGCTCACCACATCCATAATCAGGTCACCTTGATTGGTTCCCTAAAATCTCTCAGTTATAACATTTGCCACTAAATGGTTTGATCACTCTTGGTCTTCCATCATGCTGTTTAGGTTCTCATTCTGCGACCGCTACCACTTCTTGTCTCTGTGTGGCTGTAAGCACTCTGGCAGTTGAGATTATTTTACTGAGTTCCAGTTTCTTCACATTTGGCAACTTTCCAGGAACCCATTGACAAATGTGAGCTTCATGATCTGCTCTTGTCCATTTCCTTTAAATCCTTGCTACTTCTGCCAGTCTTTGTATTTTCATTGCATACACATCAATCGCTTCGCCGGTCCACCACATGTTCACTAGCTTTGCATATGCAGAAAAAACTCTGAACATAAAGGCTGTTTTTTAACTTAGCCTCTATTTTCTTTGCATCCCGTTGATCCTCTTTGGAAAACAGGGATATAAAGCTTGCGAGTGAGGTTGTGGATTTTTTGCAGTCTCGCTACCAATTTCACTTTTGCCAACCAGGCCATCAAATCGCCTTCGCCACTGAATGTTTTCACCATATCGGCAGTTACTTTGTGATTTACCTCCATATCGTCATGGCACTTATAACAGATATGTATCACAGCTTATCAACTTAACATTGGCTTTATATGAATGGGAAGACTACTGCTTTTAAAATATGATGGATTGATATTTCTTTTTAACTTAAGGCTTGCTTTATAGTTTTTTAATGTCCCAGTTTTGGAATTTCTGTATTCATAGCATTAAGTAAACATGTGCTACTAAACCGTGAATTTTTATACAATCTATGACCATAATAGTGACGGCTTCAAATCTATTTTTATTTCAGAATTGCCTTTAAAGGACCCTAATATTTTTATACATGTTCCATCAAATTTTCTTTAATTTTGGTTTTGATAATTGTCTCTAAAATTCTTTGGAATAAGGGTTACTTTGCTTCCAGTGTCAACTTGCATTTTTAAGTCTACACCATTTAATTTAATATCTATGAAGGTGTTCTTTTTGTTTCTCCTTTCTATTGAAAAAACGTTTGTCTGACTTTTTACATAGTCATGCATTATTTTGACAGTTTTCACATTGGTATCTTGCCATTTACATATGACTTGAAAGTGATTTTTCTTTTTGCACTTATTACATGTCTGTCCCTATGCTGGACATTTCTCTCTCTTTAATTCATGTTTATAGTTGCAATATCTGCATTTTATCATTGTTCTTTTTATCGCACGTGTTCATAAACTCAGGTCGGTTTTCATTTATATTAAATTTTTCATTTAACTCCTCTTGTTGTATGAAATCAATACAAGTCATTTGATTTGTTGTAATTGCTCTAAAATTTTTACTTTATGAGAAGTATTGCACAATTGGAGTTGAATTAATTCTTCCTCTGTGGTTATTCCTTGTTGTCCTAGTTCTTGAAATTCATAATATCTGCTGGTATCTCTTAAACTTCTTAGATATTTCCTTATAGGCATCCCAAGTTCTTGTCTCAGTGCTAAGAATTTAGTTTGTTCAGCTATGACCTATCTTTTCTTTGGTTGAATATTTCAAAAGGTTATTCCTTTAACTTCCTTAAATGGCATGTTTTCAATTTCAGCCAGGTAAGTCATTGGCGAAATCTGCTTAATGGCTTTGCATCACACAGTGGGCAAAAATAGATCTGTGATTTCTTTTTGTCCTTCAGGTGTTAGGTCATCTTGTAACATCTTTCTCCTAGCATGTGCCTCAAAGCATTTTATCTGAATCTTTACGTTTTTAGGTTCTTCTGTGTTCAACAGAGTTCCATCACGTGACGGCATTTTGTTATGATGATCAATGTACACTGCCTCAAAGTTGCCCGTGAGCTATACTTATAGCTCTCTTTATCCTAATTACCTATTAGCTAAACCAATTCCATGACAAGGATAAAAGTTTGAATCCTACTGGAGAGCACACTTTCTTTATTAAGTTTTCTCAAGTAATACACACAATTTAAAAAAAAAAAACGGGCACCTATTTCAAACATGGGTATCGACTAAAAATAACTTTTTGAAGTAATATATATATATATATATATATATATATATATATATATATATATATATAATTCTGATATATTCTGCTTAAGCACAATCCAACATATATGATTGTGTATGTGTGTGAAGAGGGTGCTAAAAGTTCTTGATTCTACCAAGAAGAGGTTCCAAAAACATTTTCTGATGTTTGTAAAATTTTGGGAAGTGGCTTGAGCTGAGAACTTTGTTTTGCACCCACAAAACATACAAAAAGAGTGTTAACAATTTTGATATTTAGTCATTGAAATGCTGATTTTGGAAAATAACTCAAGCTGGGAAATTTTCAGTACCTATATATATATATATATATATATATATATATACACATACGCACGCACACACACACACACACACACACACACACACACACACACACACACACACACACACACATATTTAAAAATAATTTAAGTTTCAAATTTCAGCATCCCCTCTCTGTTTTATGCATCTATAGTCGCATCATTTTAGTCTGACAAAATGTGTCACAAAATTTTTTTAATACATTATCATTGATTTTCCTAACATTGTTCTGGTATGTACAATTTTATATCTTTTTACCCATATATATATATTTTACAAAAGTAATGGATTAAAAAAATTTTTTTTATTTATTAATCTGACATATGCATGCATGTGTGTTTCACAAATTTATCCCAACTAGAAATCCAAATTGTGCACAAAGAAGTATAATCTGTTTATAACACAGATTTGTGTTATATTGCTTGAGTTGGTGTATAGATAAATATGTACAAAATATATTCTGAAGAGGGGTGTCATGCACCACTGAAATTTTAAAATTTAACTACTTTGTTAATATTGATAATTTATGAGCATGTTTAGAGATACATGTATCCTTTTGATCTTAGAATTACTGATGAAGATTTTTGTGCCTATACATACACACATGAAATGTATTTTAAAACTGTTTAGATTATAAGAATATTAAAGTTTTTCAAATTGATATTGAAATACATTTGAAATAACCTTTGTTGTCAAAGGTATAGAAATCAATATAAATCAGTAAAATAGAATTAAAATATAAACAGAATTACTTTAAGCATAATAACTCCAACAAAAAAAATGCAGATAATATTAATGAAAGTGAGCAGCAAACTAACAGCACCCATGATCCCCATTTCTTTTGTTATGTTGCAGCTGTAGATGGGTTCATAGGCATTGTCTTGGAAAGGGAGGCAACCAAGTTCGCTTACAATCTGAAAAGAGAAATATAAGATATTCAGAAAATAAAACTGGAAAAAAAATGATATTTTTGTAACCAAATTAACCACTTGGAATATTATATTAAAATAATATAAAGTAAAAGATATCTTTCATTCAGTTCTTAATGTTAATAACTACTATTGATATTTTAATATGAGTTTTATTTCAATGTGTACTCTCTTTATAGATTGAGAAGAGTTTGGATCAGTATGCCTAAACTAATTTGATAAAAGACTAGAAAAGGTAGATATCATCAGATTACAAACATTTCTGATACACATCCTGATGATTAACTATGAGTTAATGGGTTAATACTTTTGCTTTTTTAACACATTTTAACAATCTATTATTAACTGAGACAAGGAATGGGCTGTTAATTTTAATGTCTCCAAAACAAAACTGCCCTTTTTTAAACATCTGAGAAAACCCTTTTTGACTTTATGGCCAGATGTAAACTCTAAGAAAGCAAAATACAAAATAAGAAAAAAGTCGTTTATTGCACAAGGGCTCCGAGCATTATATCAAGTCCACAAAACAAATCCCTGCAATAAAATATAATAGTCAGTCATGAATGTTCCTGCTAGCAAAAAAGTTGACCTGGGGAACCATGAGATTTGCTTAAAAGAAAGCCCTTCGTGAATGACTGACACAGTTGTGGGCTAAAAGGCCACTTGTCAACATGCAGGTGTGCTGTCACCATCACCTTCATGATTGCATCTCTCCTCACAGTGATCTTACTTCACTGATCTCGCCTGATACTTCACATGTGGAATACAACTGACAAGCCAGCTTTGACACTGTCAGGCTCTTGATGCCAACCATCATGATTTCTAACATCTCGACATCATCATCATTCAGCTTCAAGCCTCCCTCACCACCATGACCCCATTTCATTGATACCACATTCGACCAAATATTCCGCTCAATCAACCTTCAATATTCACTTCAGGATTCCCTTGTCATCACTACTGTGACCTGTTTATTAACCTCTGATTTGACCAGAATCCAACAGAAACATTCCACTCTATCAACCTTCACTATCTACATCTAATCTCTCATGTACACCCCAACCAACATTGGCAACCAACATACCTTACCATGAATCAGTACACCATTGTGACCTAAATTGACCAACCCACCTTACCAGGCGGTTCAGCTTCAATATCTTGGCATCACATGATCATCAGAACATCAAACACTGTACAGATGTTGATTTCAACCTTAAAGAAAGTTGTGTGTCAATCCCCACCAATGTACCTTTCCTATAAATACTTTCATGGTAATATATTCTGATGAACTTTCCTCTATGGTATCTAAACTTTATGAATCTAAGCACAGTACTAGATCTGTGTCAAGGTCTCAACATTTTAAAGTTGAAATGGTTATAGATGTAACTGTACATACTATGTTAAGAGTTTCTTCTCTCGCACTTTTCACTTGTGGACCTTTCTTCTGGCTATATGCTTTCTAGCCAACTTTGATCTTCAAAAATTTCAATGCAATACCAATCATTATCCCCTGTCTTCTTAATTCTTCTCCTTTTACTGCTCTCTTCTTAATGATACCTTTTTTCTAATATTCTTTCACACTCACTAACCTCTTGCATCTTAAGTGGCTTTATTGCCTTGCTTAGTGTGAAACATTTGTTTTAATTGATATCACCCTATGCAAGGCAGTAAAGCCATTAGGACACAAGGAGTTACAGGTGTGGAAGAATTAGGAACAGAAACATTAATAATGGGTAGGAAGATAATGATAAAAGTTTTGTTGGAAAGATTAAATAATTTGCTTGTGCAAAAAGCTGAATGTTTGAATGTTATGGTTATATTATGAAACTTATGTTCATGATTCATTTTAGCAGAATTAATTGATGGTACTTATATGAAATATGACTGGAAAAATAACCATTAAAAGTGGTGTTTTATGCTTTATAAATATAGCAAACAATTGTGGAAGTTAAAGAAAAAGAGAATCAAAACTGTCATACTTGAAATTTTATTAAAAATTAATAAAATAATCAAGTAGATATAAATGAAGTCAACAAAAATATCAATCCTATTTGGCTATTATTAGTGCTATTATTTGCAAGTAATCTTTGAAAAAACAGCCTGTTTCCACACAAACATAAATGAGTTCTAAATCAACAGAAACACGAAAATAAAAAAGGGTTAAAAACAATTATTAAATGAGAATCATTTATCTTGGATAAAACTTATATAAAAGAAAAATATTTCCATGTAGAGTTTAAAAATACTTACAACAGTGGAAGAATTGTTTAATGTGACATTTTCTAGTGGAGAGATTATTGTCAACAAAGCAAAAGCCCACAGCATGCCCTGTAAAAGGAATGCAAAAGGCCAGAGGCAATATGAAAAAATGAAATCAAAACTGATAAGATCCATTTTAATAATCATAATTTTTGCTACAAATTTCTACAAAAGATTTTCATATAAACTTACAGCAACCATAGACAGAATTTATGGCACTATTTTCTCTCCACCATTTTAAGTTTGCAGAGTAGGGAATGATAAATATATATAGTCACAAAGTGGTAACATATAGGCAACGTGAAGTCTGCTAAAGTGGGTCTTCTTTCTCCGTGCTCACTCAGGTACTCCAAACGATGAAGTTCTTACAAAATGTCCTTTTGCAAAAGTAAAGTTCTTGGTGTCCTATTGGATTGCTCTATCACTCCCACTGGGGAGTAAGTTCCACAGACAAAAATAACATGTCTGCATTCTTTGACGTGTAAAACTTAACTCCTTAAAATCACTTTATATCTCCACTGCCTTAACCAGGTCACTGTCACTGGTTAAGACAGTAGAGAACTTGGAGAGGGGAATTAACAGGAGATAACTGATAACTGACATCCATTAGACATGGCACATGGAACTAGAACAGTCTACCCCAGAGAGCGAAATAAAGGGTTCAGTTCGACATTTCAACCACCTGAAGAAGGCTGGAGCGTACAACGACTAAAACATTGTGATAAATATGGCAACAAAGATGAGGACAATAGTCCGAATAATGTAAATAGTGTACATAATATCACATCTCAGAAATATAGACAGATACTGAAAATACGATTCCTTAAAAAATAATAGCCTGCTAGACTATTATTTAACATTCCTTACATAACCATAAAAAAATTCATTTATGAATTTTATTTCAACTACATTATATTAACACTTGGTAATATACTTTTCTTGGGATAGACTGATAAATCGTCCTTTCATTCATGAAAATATCCTTGTCTGCTTTTCACTTGATTTCTGCTGTGATAATCACGATTTCTCCTAACCTTCAGCTCCTTGGGGTTGTCAAACACTGGTGAAATTTGGTAATCTTCTTGGTAATTTCTTTTGTTCTCTTCCTTAATGATAGACTTGGCTATCGGATTTTATAGATACAAAATAAGAACAGACCCACAATTTCGTCCGTCTTTTCTATCAATATTCAATCTGCAAATCCATTGAATTCTACTGATTCAATGATAATACTAAAATTAGAACAGACCCATTGTTTTGTCTGTCTTTCTCTTTAATGATCAAGCTGTAATTCTTCGTCCCACAATTTTCACCCATTCTCTTCTTTTTTTATATCAGTATTCAAACCACAACCTTCCCTTTTTTGTTTTTTTTTTGGCTGGGCCCAAAATTTTGCTCACCTTCTCACAGCATTTCTTGTTCTCTTTATTCATGTGTTTGTTTTTTCTTTCTTTCTTTCTTGATGGATGGATGGATGGATAGACGGACAGAAGAAAAGAGCAAAGCCAGTTGTAGAACATATTTGCTCCTTAGTATAATTATTGATTTGGTATGCATATCACTAATGCTTTGTTTTATCTTTTAAGGCATTTTGGGAGATATTGTGTATAATCTGTGTAATTTGCAATGTCACTTTTATAGATTTGATTATAATATATTATGATTTTATGTCTTTTTTAATGCTCCAAGATATAAAGTACATGCTACTTCAATTCGTTCCATTCTTTTACAATGCATGCTGAATCATTCTATTGGTGCATTCAGTTTTATTCTTTGTTTTCATGCAAAATATATCATAATAAACATTGTGAATTTGCAAACATTAGATGATAAATAATGAACCATAAAATAACTGATAGGTTTTTGAAGGAAAGGTTGTTTTACCTTGTAATATTTGTAATGAAATGTATTCTGACCTAAGTTAATACAGAACGGTAAGTGTGTGTAATGAAGAAACCCTCATAGTAGATATTGACGATTGATATGGAACTGACATAGAGAAGGAATCATTAAAATTTTACATTAATATGTTTATGAAAACTGAAATTGAAGCACTTACTGCATTGACTGCAGGTGGCAGCAAGGAAGCTGAAATTGCCACACCAACCAAGGATCCTATATTGCCTCCAAGAATAGATAAAGAAACTCCAGCACCTGATGGCAAAGCTATGAAGACTCCAACCCACAAACTACGACTCATTCCTCTGGAGAAAATTTTAAAAAACATTAGAAATTAATCAATATGTGTATAAGAAATAAAAGGATATTTTAGATCAATTTTATCTGCTTTTCTTGTTTTTTTTTTCACAAAATATTTTCATTATTTTTCACTCATATTTGAAATCATTTATTGTAAAATAATGTAATTTTTTTTCATGCATGCATAGTAGTGTTGGACTATTTTTAAAAAAATATTTTATTGATTTTAAAAAAAATTATATTTTAATCCATGTTATGACTTAATTCATATAATAATATTAAAAATTCTATTTACATGCGAATTTAATAGAAGAAAGTGTAAAAGTAGTCAAATAACATGAATTTTAATTGTAAATTTAGAGGGGAAATTTGTCAATTTGTATCTTTTTTTCCTACTTTGTAATTCAAAAATAACAACACTATAAACCTGGATTTCATCTCCATTGTTGGCCATTCATCCATATAACCTGTTAATCCTTGATGCTGAATGGCTCCAACAAGAAGACCACCAATAAATCCTACAAAGAAAATCATATCAGTATAATTAACAATGAAGATACTGATAATTAACTATTATATAAGCATTTGAATTAAAAAAATAAAAAAAACAATATAATACTAAAGAGTACTACATTAATTAACTCTTTAAACATTATGCAGAAACTAAATTTTCATTAAGTATGAAGTAGCTCACCACAAATGATACACAGGGTAAGTCCAATACATTCTGAGCGAATGCCAAGGTTTCGAAGAGGACTGTTTCGGATTGTAATTCCAAAGGTTCCAGCCAAAATTGGCCCCTAAAATATAAAGTAAAGCAAAAACAAACCATTTAGAAATCTTTTCTTTACACATGAAAGAACAAAAGGAATATTGAATTCATTTTGGCTTTTTAAAAGGCATGTAATATAGTAAAAGATGTATTACAGACAATTCAGATATACAACTTATTACATTTCATTGAAATTTATCATGTTCAGAAAAATTATTTTACTGAGTACATTATAAAATTTATGCAATTTAGATGGCAGAACAAAATGACTTTTGTAATGTAATATGCTGTTTGGTGAAATATATAGAAAATACTTGCTATTGAACATTTATGAAAATTGTTATTATCATCCACTTAAGATGCCAGATTTATTCTACAACTGAATGTCAACCAAAACTGCAGATGATTTTGTTAATACTTTGATGTTTATTTATATTTAACCCAAAATATATAATTTTTAGTCAAATTTTTCTTTATTTCCAGTAAAAGTGAAAAGTTTTATGAGCAAGTTTTTCATTATTGTTTTTTTACACATCTTTAAACAATTTTTAATCAAAATAAACATGACCAAAACCTTGTTTTATTATTTTAAAATATTTAACAATTGTTTCCTGTTATTTTCACAACAAAAACTTTATAAACATACTGATTCAAAGAATTGAATGATATTGCACACTAATTTCATTTAAAATTAATAACACTACAATTTCTTAACTGTGTTTTATCTTTAATTCAAGTAGGTTTTTTCTATGTTTATATTAGTTGAGAATAATGTATTTTTTTTGTAAATATTAATTTGAAAATAACAAAATAGTCAAAAGGAGGTGAGAAGAATTTACTATTTCCACTTTTGAGTAAATTAACTTTATTAAATTATAACCAAGCCTGGATGAAAAACTCCTTAGCAAAATATACACTGATCACAAAAATGTGTCATAAAAACAAACACATCCCTTACCATTAAAGGAGAGATGAGCATACTGGCAACTAAAATAACTGAGCTGTTTTCAATTAAACCAATAACAGCAATCATACTGAAAAGATATAATCATTCAATTGCATGTGAGTGAAATACTTTATACATAATTTTTCTATTTGCAATAAACTTAAAACTTGTTGATATTTGCTTCTCAAAATGATTGGCTGGTGAAGTGATTGACTTGTATAATTTAAAATTTTCATCTCTTATGTTTGATAACTAATCCTTTTTTTTTACCTTGAATTTTCCTAAAATACATTCTGGCACATTCTTTACATTTTATTTGATTCCAGCCATATTTTTTAAGTGCAGTTTTTACCAAAAGTTACAATTTAAAATATAAAATGTTTTATCTACATTCTGCATACTGTTTACATCTATGTGTATGCAAATAATTCATAGGAAACACTAGTAAAACGGATATACTTTTACCTTGCAAGTATAATAAGCATACAATAATCAAATGTGAACACAGCATTTGATCTCACAATCTGCACCACCTGAAAATAAATATATAAGACAACTGTAGAGGATCAAATTCTTTTTTCTTCTTTTACATATTTTTCAAATATTTATATATTTATATATTTAAATATTTATATATTTATATAGCAAAGAGAATATTTTCTATTAAAGATATGCAAAATCAGTGTCAGTTTCTTCGTGTTACTTTCATTATTTTTCTGATAAAAATAAAATATATTACATCTCACATTATTAGCTAAGTTATGTTTTATTGATAGATAAAAATATTTATTTGAAAGTAAAGATTGATTTGATGAATAATGTCAGTCTCTTTCTATGCAGTTGGGATGAAAGCCACTTCATTCTTTCTAGAAGTAAATAAATGACAGCTACTTGTATGAAATATCCTGAATTTTTCAAATTCATAGCCATATTGCAAATTTGAAACTTTTAAAGAACATAAATGTAATGTGACAGAGAGAGTCTGGGAAACACACACACACACACACACACACACACACACACACACAAGTATATATTTTTTTTTTTTTTAATGAAATTGGAGTGGATTTGAACAGCAAAATTAGATCAGAACATTTTTGTTTACTGATGGTGAAAGCTGATCTAGGGCAGAAGTTGTACCCATTGAATCTGGGTCATCATGGGAATGGACGAAATAATATTTATCAATTAAAAATTGAAATAGAGCTGAGTAAGCTAGAAGGAACTTTTAAATTCACATGATTTTGGTTGAAACAGCCAAAACCTCGTGATAATCACGTGCGAAGCAGTAGGGCCAAGGTTCAGTTGTAACCAGTTGTTTTTTATATAAGCGTGTAGTTATGCTGAAAAAGAGGCAGATGGAAGAGAGAGAAGGGTGAGCATTGAGACGGGAGAGAGAGACTAAAGAGAGAGACAAAAGAGAATTAGCCCAGGCAAGAGTTTGGCTAGAGACAGTAGAGAGTCGATTTGGAGACTCAAGAAGAAGAGAAAGTGACATCAGAGATTGGAAGGAAGTATCAGCGAACATGTGCTGTTGATATAAGTACCACTGCTTCTGCTACCATGAATATTACTACTACTGTTACTACTGCTAAGGAGGAACGCCACTATAAACTTTAAGCCACACACAGAAATCTTATTCCCCCATTGCAAGAGTCATATATCGTTTTGAGATGATTTAACAAGTTAATCATAACACATTCTCTCTCTGTCCAGAATCCAGGGTATACATTTTTTACATCAATTACTTTTCTTTTCTGTAACCTGTTTCTTTTCTATACTATTCTTTTCTGCTATATAAAAGACATTAACAATTCAATAATTGAATAGTTGTTTGTCTGGCTTTCTGCAGATATTAATTTTTTTTTTTTTTTTTGCTGCATTCTAAATTTCTTAGCACAGACTCTCCAGCTGTGTCTACATCTTCAGTTGACCGTAAATGGATGAACATCACTTCTGCTTTCTGGATCAAACCAAACACAACGTGGGCAGCAAGCAGGATTAAACCAGCGGACCAGTCGAATAATCTACGGATGCTCAGGGGACCTACAGCCACTCCCTTAAGTTCAGTTAGGACCGAGTAGACACCTCAACACAGAGAGTCAGACGTCGGAGGTTGAGGGGCTGGGGCAAAAGTGTTAGAGTAATGGGTAAGTAGAGTAATGATTTGAGAGAATTGTTTAATAAAATGTTTAAAACAATACTGGAAATTGTATAGATGATTGGCAACTACTATTGAAGTGGGAAGATGTGTGTTGAAAAACATGACCAACTCAAATCTGGAATGATAATGATAAGTGGAAGAATTTATCTCATCAATATGTATTCCTGGATCAAGAGAAAAGTTATAAAAAGTATGTTTTGGCATTGTGGCAAATGGGGAACTGATAAAAAGCATAAGATGTCAGGGGAAAATGGATAGGGGTCTAGCTTATAGCAATAATTTCACAAGTGGTTCGAAGATTTCTGGAGAGATTTTAAGTCACATTATCTCAATAACTGTTTCTAGGTATTTGTCAGTGTAGGATCTTGTATGCAAATAGAGCTAAACAGTTGATTGGGTGAATGCTGAGTGAATATGGTGGTCATACCATTCATTAGAAAATTCCAGAATACATGTCATACCAATTCTGTACAACTTGGGCCCAAATAGTCATGAAGCAGTGCAACATAGAAGTTATCAGTCAATAATGTATTGAGGTAGATCAGCAGAACCAGCTGATGCCATGTGAACACATCCCATATCATTATGGAACCACCAGCATGTGTTGTTAACTGGAATTCATTATCTCATGGGACCTTTGTCACACCTGAACCTTATCATCATCTCAAAACAACTAAAACCATAAATAACCAAAACGTGCCACACATTGCCAGTTCTCCAGAGTCAATGGACTCAGCAATATTATGAGCCCTGGTAAGGCACAGTGTCTGGTGTTGTGGTGTTAAAAATGCCAAAGGTGGGTTTTCTGCATTCATATCCCATGGAAGTTAAAGAATACTAAACTAACCTGCTGGATATGCATCTGGTATCTACTCCATTGAATGAATGTGAAAGTGATTTGAGACAGGGTTATTTGTCAGACAGGTGATTTTTGGTCACAATTAAGAACATGTGGTTGGCTATGGAGCTGTAAAGATACAGAATTCACTTATCTACCTTTGGCAGAGATAAGTCACATGACATTTGCTTCATGATGTCACTCCATACAGTGACCAAAGTGGCAGTCATTTTACCGTTTGTGGACAGCAACCAGAAAGTTACTTTCTTCTAGCCTAGGACCTTTGGCACAGGCTGAGGCTAAATCTGCTTTTTCAGCAGCTTACAAGCACATGGTGACATTTCCCTTTGGGACATAGATAAATTCAGCCCATTTGAATCTGGAGTCTTAAAAATGGCTTCTCCAGGTCAGTAGTACCTCCAAATTATATGTAAGACCTTTCCTTTTTGTTCCTCCATATACTTTGCTTTGCTGTGCAGATATTTGTGATATATTGTTCTCTGTGTGGGATACATGTATATATCTAATTTTGTGTATGTCATAGTATATAAAAGTCTCTCTGAAAACAAAGCATGTTTGCCATTCTTTTTCCTTTCAGCCATTCCGTTCTGTCTGTGAAAAATTGGTGTTATTATATCATGGATATAACAATGCCCATAAGGGGAGAAACATAAAAGAGAGAATAAATCTTTCTTAGTGCCCTTGTTACAGTGCTCTCCACAGTGAATGGCAATGCCTCCCATTAGGTATTCCCAGTATACATGTGACATCATATATTGAGGGTTATCAAATTTCCCCATGGTTTCAGAAATAGAATGTTCCATCTGTCTGGTAGGCACTATCATGCACTGTTCAAACTGATAATCATTATCACCTTGTCATGAGCAGCTTAACTAGTGTGAACACTGATTCACCAGTTGTGAGAGCACTGATTTAGGTCTGAGTATTCCCATGATGTCAAAATATGGTGGTGTCACTACTACATACTGCTATCACATGAAAAGTAATTTTTCTTTGGGTCTTTTCACCTTAAATTGCTACCTTTAATGGGTTAGACAGATGAGGCAAATTCTGGATTGATAGTGGTATGCTAATGGAAAGTTGTAGCTGGTATAAAGATGTCAGCTCAGATATTAATTTTTGAAGGCACACATGTTGCTATGGTTCAAGAAGAATTCATGTGTTTTCAGAAAGAGACTTTTTATGCACAACAATGCTCCATCAAATTTGGTGAAAAAAACTAATGATGATCTGGATAAAATGTGTTTCAAAGGTCCTCATTTGATGACATGGCTGGCTTGTTTGTCCAATTTTAATGTGATTGCAAACTTGTAGAGCATTTTGAAGAGGAAAATTTATATTTGCAAATGGCAATTTATTAGCAAAGATGAAATTTGGAATACTATTCTAGATGCCTTTCTCTTTCAAGTGAAGAAATACAAATTCTTAAAACCAATCAAAACAAAATCAATAGATTAATGATTTCTAAAATGAGTTTTAGAACATGGAACAAACATTTCCCTTTAATGTTGTTTTTATAATTTTGCTATCATTACAATCACACTGTTTTCAATTTTTGGTTAAATATATTTGTTTTTGTAAATTTTGTGTATATTACTATTTTTTAATTACAAAGTGTTTCTTGGTGTTTTTGTAACTTGGCTAATAATGTGACAATTAGAAAATCCTGTTAAATTCATAAAATTGTAGCTCCATTGTAAGAGTGCTATGCAGTTTACTATAATTTATACATATGTAAACTATTTGTCCATTAATAGTGCAAATATTTCTGTGAATTGCTTAGTTTTTTAAAAACAAAGACAAGTGAAAAGTGGTTAATAATGTCAGATGCAATATAATTTTCAATATGAAGTTCAATCATTAAAACTGACACTGAATATTCTGACACTAAGAAAAATCTTAGTATCAGAATATTCAGAAATAAAGATATCAATTCAGATTTAAAAAAAAAATAAACCTAAGAATTTTACCAGTAATGAATGTAATAAGTTTTTAAAAGGATTTATGCCAAATTTCAGTTCAATCCTGTAAGCAATTTTGTTGTTTATATTTAGTTTACGCACACGCACACATCTGGATTTTTAACTCATTTAGCAGACTCATATATATGGATGCATATCAAAATTTCTACCCATAAATTTGCAAAGTTGATTCAACTTTTTCCCTTTTGAAATTTAAGAAGCTGATAATATTTACAGATGAATAACCAACTTTTTATTGATAAGAATGGCTAAATGCCAAATCAGCAATAAAGAACTTGAGAAACTCATCCCTTACCTGTGCAACAATCATACGAGATTTTACAGAATTTTTGAATTCATTTTCATTTTCTTTTTGTAACCTATAAAAAGAAAAGATGAAAATAAATGGAAGGATAAAACCTAGAGTTGATTATTTTTAATTAAAAAATTATTTAAAAACACATTCATATTAAAGAGAGATTTTATTAATAACCCATAACATACAATAAAAATATTGATTTTGAGATGCATACATAAGTGATGACATTTGTGATTCTGTTATTTTTTCTCTTTAATTTTCTGTTATATATTATATTAAACATTAATATTTATGGATATCCTCTGGAAAATTGAATTTTGGATAGTTATATAATATTTGTTAATCCAATTGGACAAATAAACAAATAGCTCAGATTCAGAGCAATATCAAAGTTCCATTTCTTTAACAATATTGAAGGGGAAGTTACCACTGATTAAGACATTCGTATAATTGGGTCATCATGGACAGAGAAAAAGTAGAGTAGTGATAATTATCTGCTTAAAGTATTGATATTAAATATATTATATTATAGTATATAGTGAGGTGAAAAATTATCTGTATGGTACAAACAATTTAAAATAATTCACTTTTCATACATATTGAAGGATATTTTTTATATATAAAGAGATAGAATATGGGCTTAGATGTCAAATACTCAAAGCATTTCAGAAACCTTTGAATCAATACAATATCATTATAAACACAATATTAAACTTAAATATCCCTGTACCTTCAGCATTCCTTGATGTAAATTTGTTAACTGACATTTGTTGTATTTCTTTCTCACTCATATATATATATATATATATATATATGACTTCATTAATAGAACCATTATTTATCTGAAGATATCATTTAGAGACAAAATGTGTGACAAAGGAGATTTTTCACTTTGCTACTATTATTTCCACCATTAGTTTTGATATACAGGTTTAGATATCTTCCAAAGACAATATTAAAAAATTGGCAAAGGACAAAGTTATCCATATGGTAAAAAATTATTTAATTATTTATTTATGAAATTCATAAAAATATAACATTTTATGATGAGGTATTCTATCAGACTGTATCTGTGGCTTGTAAATAAATTTAAATTTTCCATAACGGACATACACATTGTTCACTTCAAGCTGAGTATGAATAACAAAAAACAACGTTGAAGGTGAAGTAGATGTTGGTGGATATAAAACAACAAATTTGAATGTTTGCAATTCAGGAATGACTTTTGGAGTAGCAACTAAGCAGTTTTGTGTATAGATAGTGTTTGTTAGTAAATCAAAGAAAAATATTGTGAGACAAAAAATATCTGCAACTTTTTGTGGATAGGATCCTAATCCTAATATTATTAAATTATACTCTTACTAAGATTGCAAAGAGATTTTCCGTGAATGCAAAAAGAAAGAACCCTAAAGTCTTAATGAAAAATATTGTTTCTGATTTAACAAACAATAGACTAAATGTGTCATGTTGTATGTTAGCTCAATAAACATTCACTACCATCGAAGAAAAACACTATCAAAAATAAAAGTAATCATTGCAAAGATTCATTGGAGTTTATACCATGCATTCCTTGAAAGAGACAGCCATTTTTGGGACTCAGTTTTATGGAGTGATCAAACTGTAAATTTTTTTTTTTTTTTACAAGAAAGCTAGAAAAATTGGTTCCACATAAAATGACAGAAACAATCATTGGTCAGCATTTTTGGGCATGATAATCACTGGCTATGGAAATGGATTGATTACAAAAATCTCAAATAAAGAAAATCATAGATCTAAAACATTTCTGAGTATCTCAGCTTAGCAGAATCTCTTATGGGTAATAAATGCATTTAGTTAGAGCCAAATAGAAGTCTTTAACACAAATTTCTGGATGCTGGACAAAGTGTCGCTGTTGTAATGTTACAGCAAATAATTGGCTCACCTGACTTATACATTAACAGAAAAAAAATGAACTTTGTCCTAGACAAGGAGTTTTACCCACAGAATGAGAATATTCATCCTCATTATTTACATTATTTGGACTATTGTCCTCATCTTTGTCACCATATTTATTACGTTTCGGCCGTTATACGCTCTGGCCTTCTTCAGGTGGCTAGAATGTCGAACTGAACCCTTTATTTTGCTCACTGGGGTAAACTGTTCTAGTTCCACTTTTATCCCCATTGGTTAAAAACCAATGGGGCTAAAAGTACAGGCCCCCTAAAGAAATGATTTATGAGTTGGTTTTGATTCAAGAGTTTTCTATATAAGAGGGAAAGTTTTGACTGCAAAGACAGAAAAGAATGGACCAGAAAGAGTTTTGACAGTCTTGGCATGTAAAGACTCCTGCTGCTGCTGATAAGGGATTAGGCCACTTGGGTGAAGAGCTTAACAGTTTCAGCCTGTAAATTCTACTGCATCTGAGAAAAGAAATAGATATGGTGACCTGGGATGATAAATGACTAATTATGTTAGTGATGAAGAAGATAGAAGAATCTTCTAAATTTTCATAATAAAAATGATTTTTATAGACTTCTATACCCGTGGATGGCAACTGGTCTACTGAAGAAAAAATGGCAACCTAATACTGGAAAAAATCTGCCTTGTCAGTCATGTATCGAAAAATGCATGATCACACATGGTACATAACTGACTGACTTTATAGACTTGTAAAAGTTTATCTCAAATTTGAGATGGTCAGTTCCATAAGTCTGAACATTTTTCAAAAGAGCCCTGAAAAGCAGTTTCAACAAGGTAGGTAACTTTTCCTCACCCAGCTTCAAATTTCAACTTTCAACCTCTGAATTAGCAACATTTTGTACCAGTGAATATTTAGAAGTAAATTTTTTTGTTGCTAAGAAATTAATTCATACGAACTGTTGTACTATAAGAAAATTGTTAAAATTCATTTGTTTTTTAAGGAAAACATTTGCTATATACGAAAAAAAAAATGGATTTGTATTTGAAAGAATGGTTGACCTGTCTTGAAAATTTGAGATGTACAAGAGAAATTTTGTGCAAAGACTAATATTTAATTTGTACAATATGTATATTGTGAAAAATATTTGATCACTGTATTGTCAATTTCTCTGCAAATTTCAGACCAGGGTAGGAGACTTGTCATTTTTGTTTGTGCCATTCTAAATACTCGAGATAAGAGATTTGACATTTTCTCTTTTCTTATTCTCCCAACAAATCCTTTTACCAGCCATTTAAGGTTAATAGCAATCAAATAAAGACATTACTTAAGAATAATCAATGTTATATGAAATGGAAGATAGCCAATATGCTGAAAATATCTAAATCATGCATTGGAAATCATTTGTACCAACTTCATTATAGTGTTTTAATGTATAGATTCCATATAAGTTAAGCAAAACAAACAAAAATACTGGGCCCTATTTATTCAGTTATGACAAAAAGTGTTGTGACCTGTTTAGGGGCCAGAAAGAAAGACACGGAAGACGAAGGTCGATTGAAAAAAGTATATTAAAGATATATACAAAGCAAGAGTGTTAGTAATAAGTAGATTAGCACTGCGTCTACTACTCCATTCCACTTCACACTCACTATCTGACTCTCGCAGTTTGTATTTATGAGAGGAGGAAGAGTTCATTCTACTGTAGGAGGGTTTACCACAACACCCCACTCTTAAAATCTTAACTCTGCAGAAGTCTGAAGAAATAATTTTTTTTTTCACATGTACCTGTAAAAAAGAATGTTTACCAACTTTTTAGTGGTTTTCCTCCGTCTGACTTGTTTTACATTATCGAAAAGAACAAGCATTTACTTTTTACCAAATGTTACTACTAGAGGAAAGAATCCACAAAGGTAAATTGAACTAGAAATGTTCAGAAAATTATTTTAAAACCATTTCTCATTACTCCACTGGTCACTTCACATATGGTTTGTAGCCTGAAAAAGTACGTTCACAAACCAAAGTAAATAAGATAGCACCTGAAGTTGACCCTCTAAAAAGAAAAGAAATTAGCCCTGTTCCAGACAAAAAAAATAATAGTAACATATAAGTGAGATGCTATGTCTTAATAGGGCCAAGAACAAAGACCAAACCAGGAGTCAGATGATAATTGTGAATATCAGGATGAAACTTATAAAAATTATAATTCTGATATACTCAGATATGATATACTAACTTAGAAGAAAACTGATTTGAAAATTCTGAAATTACAAATCATTCTCCTGAAATGCTGAAGGAGATTTCTGTTATGTTCCACTCATAAAACATTGAGTGTTCCTGTTATATCAAGTAATGAATATTTGGCTGAAGCTCCTAAAACTTCAAGTGAGGTCTTTAAAAAGTGAGTGAATTGCCAAATATCTAATGAAAATTCTGAAATTACAAATTATACCCTTGAAATACTGAATGAGATTTGTTATTTTTAGTGACATTCCCAAAACATTAAGTGATAAATGTTGAATAATATTTTTAAAAGTTTTATTTATTCATTTATTTATTTATTTACTCATAAACTAATCTATAAAAATTCTGAAACAATAATTAGTGCTTCTATAATGTTGGAGAATAGCCAAATTTCTCAGTTACCAAACAACCAGTGTAATTTTGATTCTTTTGGAGAAATAACTAATCAAACAGAGTTTGTTTTTGGCATGTCATCTCTCTCTAATTAACAAACTGCTGTAAGATTAAGCCTCTCTGTCCTTAGAAATAGTTTACTAAATGTCTCCATTCTACTGCTCAAAGGGATGCAGAAAGCGATTATCTTCCTTTGGTGAAGATAAGTCACATGGGTCACATCAAGTCCTTCACGGGTTGTTTAGTGATGTTACTACGTGCAGTGACGAAAGTGGCAATCAATTTCCGTTCATTTTACAGTAACCAAACAAAGAGGTTGCTTTCTTTATCCTCCTGCCTCCCTGGCTTGGGCAGAAGCTAAATTTGCCTCCCCCAGCAGCTTACAAGTACATGGTGAAGTTTCCCTTTGGGAATATATCTTTCTCAGATATAGAAAGAAACTCCAGCTCACAGTCCTCAATTTGGGAAAACCCAAAACTTGCTGTTCCCCCATTCATGGAATATGTGCTTGCCTGGGACATAGATAA